GACTTCACCGAAAAAGGAATAACAATAGGGTAAAATCTATACTATGATAAACAATAGGGTGAAATCTATACTATGATAAATGATAATGTGATTATGTGTGACTAACAATATAGATATTAATATGTACTGTGCATGGGAATGAACATATATAAAATCCCCGATTTGAATTGTTGATCATCCATGTCCAAACGAAAGACAAACGAAAAAAAAGGGAGACCTGGATGGATAATTTAATTATTGAAGATATTATTCAAAAAGAGAATATCTCATTTTATCAATTCTCTGAATTTCAGAATGTAAAATTGATTACTGCCAATATTTTCAAAGCCACTTTTAAAATTTCTCAAAAAACTGTAGTTCTTAAAAATGTTTATTTAAATGATAATGATAAATTTACATTGAATAATTTAATAGATGAAGTAAGTTTAATTAAATTATTTATTCCATAACTTTGAATTTGCTGTTAATATTTTTTTATTTTCACTATTTTTAAATTGTAAAAGATTAAAAAATATCGAAAATTGGAAATTCATGATAGTATTCTTAAATTCTATAGCATCACTAAGCAAGGTAAAAAAATATTTAAATAATATGCTTAAATAAAATGAGCAATTAATAATATCCAATATCTAAATATTAAGTTATTTAAATTATTATTTTTTTTATAGAGAATACCAACAATTATATGATAATCCTCGAATATGTTAATGGAAGTTCTCTTCGCCAATATTTGAAAACTAATTTCCAAAAAATGGATTGGAATGCAAAATTAAATCTTGCAAAACAAATTGCAAATGTTTTAATGTTTTTACATTCTAATGATGTCATTCATGGGAAATTCGTAATTATTATTTAATTTTTTTTTTTTTTTTAATATTCTTATTTAAAAAATAAATTTCATAAATGAATTATTTTTAATTTTTGATTTATTTAAACTTATTTAATTTCTTTAATTAGAATTCTGATAATATTCTTGTTCATAATGGGATTAAATTTGATGGTTTTGGATTAACAAAAATTAATTCGGATTCTTTAAGTTTCCTTACAAATAATCTTTTCCCAATACAATATATGGATCCTCAATATTTGGAACTCTTCAGCACAATTGATAAAAATAAAAGTTCTGATATTTTTGATCTTGGGATTATCCTTTGGGAGATTTCTAGTGGTAATCCTCCTTTTGAAATGGAATCCTCATCAAATGTTGATTTGTTAAACAATATTGCAAAAGGAAAAAGGGAAATGGATATACCTGGAACACCTCATAAATATAAAGAAATATATACTGGTATAAATTTAAATAATTTATCAAATCAATTATGTTGTTTACATAATAAATTATTAATATTATATTTTCGACAGGTTGCTGGAAACATAATGGAAATTCACGACCAAATATTTTTCAAGTTGTTAAAAATCTTTCTGAAATTATTATCTCTGAATTCGAAACTCCTAAATCACACCTTTATAATTTCGGAAATGTTAAATTGGAAAATTTAAATATGTAAGTTGAATTTTTTTATTGTTTATAAATATATACATATTTAAATCTTAACATTTATTAAATATAAAATTCTTCATTATTAAGGCAAAATGTAGAACCTAAAATTAAATCTGAATCTCTTTTTGTGACCGAGGTCAATGGCTTTATTAATGATCTTTTTGAATTTTTCATTGATATACGCAAAAAACAGTTCCAAAATATGCAACAAAGTGTAATCAAAAATTATATTAGAGAACACAAGAAGAATCCAGTTGAAATCCTTTATGAAATAATTCGCCATCCATATTATTATTTGTTTACTAGCTTAATAGGATTTTTTTATCAGTATGGTATTGGGACTATTGTTGATTATCAAATGGCTTTTAAATTCTTTAATTTGGCTGTCAATTTAATAATTGATACCTCCTCTTTTAATTCCTTATCCTTAAAGAAACTATACAATATCAACAAAGAAATTAGTATCATCTCTCTTGCAAATATGTATTTAGATGGTTTAGGTGTTGAAAAGGATACAAAAAAAGCTTTTCAAATTTATAATAAACTTGCTGATAAGGGGTCTCTTATAGCTTCAAATAATATGGCATATTGTTATAATAATGGGCTTGGTGTTGAAAAAAATGGAGAAAAAGCTTTTGAAATTTTTTTAAAATCTACTGAAAAAGGCTCTCTTATATCACAATCTAATGTTAGTTGGTGTTATTATAATGGAATAGGAACAACCAAAGATGAAACTAAAGGATTTCAATGTCGTATAAAACCTGCTCGTGCTGGAAATATTGATGCAATGTATAATGTCGGTTGTTATTATGACAACGGTATGGGCGTGGATAAAGATGAAAAAGAAGCATTTAAATGGTACCTGAAGGCTGCCGAAAAAGGACATCCTTCAGCACAATATAATTTAGGATATTGTTATAAACATGGTGATGGAATTGATAGAGATCAAATGAAAGCATTTGAATGGTATAAAAAAGCTGCAGAAAATGATCATATTAATAGCCAATGTATGCTTGGATTATGCTTTTTTGACGGTTATGGGACTAAAAAAGATATTGCAAAAGGTATACATTGGTTGAATAAAGCAAAGGAAAATGGGGATACAGATGCCAATGAATTATTAGAAGAAATAACCAGTAATATAATCTAATTTATACATAATTTTTATTGATAAAACTTTTTTTTTTTTCATTTTCTGTTTATATTATTTAAGATTACATAAATATTATTTTTATTTCTAATTGTTTCACTTCGAATTTCTAAAATGCAAAGTGTATAGCATACTTAGTATCTGAATTATTTTTAAAAGAAAAAAAAAATATAAAAAAATTTCTCCACAAAAAAAGTTTACTACCCAAAAATTCGTAACATTTTCTAAATTTTCTTCATATGACAATCTATTGTATCCCTATGGACATAGTATTTGAATAATTATTTTTACGGTATTATGAAGTACAATTTTATCACCGATCAAATATCTCATCTTGTTATTTTTTAAATCCAATTTACCAAATAAATTTAATTATCGACTATTTAAGAAGTTTTTAAATTTTATATATGTAACTTAATAATAATAAAAAATGTCATTTTTTTGACAAATTATCTCATGATTTTCAGAACTTCTTAGTGACAAGAAAGAGTACAATGTTATTGAAGTTGATAAAGAAGAAAACATGAAATATTTTATTTCGCACTTAGTTGTCTTACGTTATCGTTCAACCTACTTCATTAAAGAGTTGGAAAAAATTGCTACGAATGAAATTCATGGTAAACTAGAAAAATTCTTGGTACGCAGCTTTGGGATGATTTAAATTAACTACTCTTATTTCCAAATCAACCAGTTAAATCCCTTGCTACCAGCAAGAATTATTACAAATCCTGAATTACCTCAAAGAATCAATAAACAATCTCTACCATAATCAACGAAGAACATGTAGCAGAATTTCATCATTAATTGATTAGAAATCAACTATTTATTCTCTAACAAATGTAACACATAAACTTCAATTAATTCTTAGAGGAAACAAAGATGGCTTTTAACCAAAAACATTTTGGAATATGTGTGATGGACTTGCTGACATGACACGATTGCGATCGCTAAAGTAGCAGGAACTGATGAATACTTGGAGATTGTAATCCATCAGCTTGGATAATTCAAAAGTGAAGACATTTTTATGGAAACAAATGATAACTTCTTATTTTCGTTAAAAAATGGGAATATTTGAAATTCAATTCTCATACTCTATTTTTATTGTAGCTCTGATAGTCAAAATATTCGTGGTCCATGATGAATTTTCATTGGAATCAAGATATAGAATGTTGGTATTGGTGTTATAATTATGCTGGATATTATGAAAAAGGCATTAGAACAATTTTCTATTGTAGATTATGAAGTATTTAAGATTGTTAAAAATAATTATTTCAAATTCCAAATGTACAATGCGATGAATATATCATTCTTCTTTTTTTTATGTTATTTCAATGATAATAAAATCTATTTTATAATAAAGTCTTTAAGTAATTAGGTATTTTTTATATTGTCTACTACTCATAATAATCTATTGATTAGAATTCACGATCAAAGTTTAGTGGATATGAAGAACCACAAAGAATGGAGATCGTTTGCTCAAATAAATAAAAATAAACAATAATCCAATAATTTAGTAATTATAATCATAATAAAATTATCGTTAAATAGAGAATTCTGTTTTTTATTACATACATGTAAAACATCAATCAGTACTAACAACTAATGCGAATGCGCATATAAAATAGATTTTAATATTCCAAATAATTATTCCAAATCATTATCTTAACAAAAAAAAAAAAGATGGTAATGATGTTTCTGCTAAATGAACTATTGATTCCTATTCATCAGTATAATTTATTATGCTCTCCAACATGAAAATTAAATGATAATAATAAATATAATTTTTACCTAAAAAAATAATTCACCCTAGAGTCGATACAAAAATCAAATCCATCGGTTTAAGAAGAATAGAAAAGTAACATTCTTGCTTCCCTATTCCTAAATGATTGCGTAGAAGATGATGATTATTAGTAGTATCAGTAGCACGTGTCACATTATCCTATCCTAACATAAAACCTAAAATTGAAACCTAAAGCTTAAATTTAAATATAAAATTTAAAACCCTAAAACCTAAAATTTAAAATCTACACCTAAAATCAACCTTAACCTAAACCCAAAACCTAATTCAAAATTTAAACCTAAATTTATAACCTAAATCTAAAACTTGAATCTAAAATCTAAAATCAAAAATCTAAACCTATACCTGTGAGAAAAAGAGAATCACTTGATTCTTTTTTTTTCAAATTAATTTCACTTAAATAATTTGACCCAGTAGTTATAACATAATATAATATTGTAAAAAATATATACACATTAATTGCATAATACATTATCGATAATATTGATGTTATTGATTCAAATATTTCACTTGGGAAAATATCAATACCAAATATAATGATGATACAGTTATCATCGTAAATTTTTTACAAAAATTTTAAGATCAAATAAAGTTTCATTATTATCATCATTATCTACATCTTGAAAATATATTTCAGTTGGAGTATTATTCTTCGCATTTTCTGGATTCCTAAATAAATAATCGAAATATTTTTATAAGGAATAGTTTTATTGGTCGAAGTAAAGATTCAAGAGCTCCGCTCCACCATCTAAATCTAATCCTCGATTAAATCCTACTTCTTATTGTTGCTTCATTGTTTCATTATTATTGTTGTTGTTGTGGAAGAAGAAATCATCATTGAATGTATTTTTTCGTTATCATTATCATTATTATCGAGTGAATAAATACTAATTCATAAAGTAAAACTTAATATATTTTTAACAATAATTAGTAAATATATTGTAAAGCATCTTAACATGCCCCGATGGTTTAAAGAAAAACGAACTTAATTGATTTGCTTCTAATGCTTGAAGATTGGCATCCGTGGCTTTTATTTGCCATTAAACATGGAACATTATTTAAATATTTAAATAATAAATAAAATATGATAATAATTATTATATTTATTATTTATTACTATATTTTTATTTAACAAGTAATAAATAATATATTTTTTTTATCGCTTTTTATAATGCCAAGTTGTAAACTAATTTCTCTTAATCACCAATTTTAAATATATACTACATTTAAAACCGTGTTCAATTATATTGTTTTGTGCTGATGTTAATAATTCATTTATTTTTTATTTAATATATTAAGAAGTATATTTGGAATAAATTTTAATTATTCTATTATTCTTAATGAATTTCTATTTAAGGATGGCGGCAGAATTTTTCTCCATAATTATGAAAAATTAATTGTACAACGGAGGTTTGGATTGTTTGTGAAAACTCCGATTTCAGCATTGAAGTTTTAAATCTTAAATAAATATCAAACTAATAATAAACTTAATAATAATAATAATAATAATAATAATAATAAGACAAATTATCTCAGAACTTCCTAATGACAAGAAAGAGTGCAATATTATTATTGAAGTTGATAAAGAAGAAAACAAGAAATCTTTTACTTCGCACTCGGTTGTCTTACATTATCGTTCAACCTACTTCACTAAAGAGTTAGAAAACATTGTCACGAATGAAAATAATGTCAAACCAAATATTTCTGTGAAATTATTCGAAATTATTCTTAAGTAAGTTAAAAAAATTATTTATTATTCCAAATATTGAAGAAACTATTGTATTAGTATTTTGATTCAAAATTAAAATATTTTATATATTTAATGTAGATACATCTATGGCGGAGTAGTTAATATTGAAAATATCGAAACGAAAATCATTTATGAATTAATGATTGTTGCTAATGAATTGGAATTCGAAGAATTATCAGAAAAATTAGAAAGTTGTCTTGTCGAATATAAAGCTCCTTGGTTAAGAACTCATTTCTCTCGTGTTTATCATTCAATCTTTGATAATAATAAATTTAATGAATTTAAAGGTTTGGAACGAGATAACCTGCAATTAGAAGATATTAAAATTTGGGATTATGTTATCAAATGGGGAATTTCGCAAAATTCTACTTCGCCTACAAATTTGGAAGAATGGTCTGAAGAAAATTTCAAGATTTTAAAAACAACTCTACAACAATGTTTACCACTTATTCGATATTTTTATATTTCTGAAAAAGATATTTGGGAGAAATTAAAGCCTTATAGAAGTATTCTTGGTATGCAGCTTTGGATGATTTACATCAACAACTCATATTTCCAAATCAACCAGTTAATTCCCTTATTTTACCAGCAAGAATTATTTCAAATCTTGAATTACCTCAAAGAATAAATGACGAATCTCAACTATAATCAACGAAGAACACTTAACGGAAATTTCATCATGGATTGATCGCAAATCAACTATTTATTCTTTAACATATGTACCATATAAACTTCAATTAATTCTTCGAGGAAGTAAAGATGGTTTTCAACCAAAACATTTTGGAATATGTGTAATGGACATGCTGAAACAGTAGTGATTGCTAACGTTGTAGAAATTGACGAGATACTTGGAGGTTATAATCCTTTAGCTTGGGATAATTCAAAAACTATAAATACTTGGATGGAAACAAATCATAGCTTTATATTTTCATTAAAAATGGGAAGAATTAAAACTAAAATGCGTGCTCTAAAATATTATAGTCCTGGAAGGTAAAATATTCAGGTCCATGTTTTGGTGTTGTGAATTTTCAGTACGATCATATGATTTTACTCAAGATAAACAATGTTGTTGTATTTATGATTCTGATTATACTCAGTATTATGAAAAATCTATTAGAACAACTGATGAAAAATTTTCGATTATAGATTATGAAGTATTTAGGTTATCTAAAAAATAATAATTTCAAATTCCAAATGTAAATATATCATTCTTTTTTTTTTTTTTTTTATTTTATTTTATATGAACTAACAATTATAATAAGTCTTTAAATAAACATAATCAAAGAAATTATACAATTAGAGTGCATTCAATAAAATTTATCTCAAAATTTCTTAGCGATATAAAGAATACAATGAAGTTGATAAAGAAGAAAATATGAAATTTTTTTGCTTGTCTCAGTGTCTCACGATTTCTTCAGCTTCACAAAAGAGCTGCACTAGACTGCTATGCTACAATGAAAATCAGATAAAAACTATTTTTAAACCAAATATTTCTGCTCAAATACTTTAACGTAATTATAAGTATATGCTGCAAAATTAATAATACATTTAATATAAATATCATTTCTGAATTAATGATTAGTTCCAATGAATTGGAATCTAAAGAATTATCAAGTTACCTTCTTGAATCCCAAAGCTTCTTGTTAAGAACTTTTATTTTATTGTTCATTCTTTGGTAGATATCACAAATGTAATTAAGTGTAATTAAATATAATGAATTCAAACAATTTTTTAATGTCATTATTGCAAAGTATCCAAATTTAATTTTTGAATCAAAAAACTTTGCCTCATTTAGTATTCACGATATTTGTGATGAATTATTTATGTGTAAATAATGTGTAAATTTGGTTTTTTATTACTATAGATACTACTTATTTACACTTTTTTTTTGATACATGCTTAACAATAACTGATAAGATTGTTTATTAATGTCCATTTTTTACTTTTAATAAACTTCAATAATCGTTTTATGAAGGTTATAGCTGGGTTGATTATGGTAAATTTATCCACAAGTCAATGTGAATAAAAAAATTATAGTTATAACAATTATTTCTTCAGCTAATTTAATCGAATCATCTAAATTCATTAAATCAGTCTAATATATAATTCATTATTTCCACATTGAGAACTTGAACTTAACAAATTTTTCGATGTCTTATTCTTGTCAACTTGGAAATAAGAAGTACAGTTCCTTTTTCATTCATTGCAAATATTGTAAATGGTTAACTTTTTTTAGTTTATATATTTAATAAATATTTGTATATAATTAAATAATTAAATATAAAGTTATAAGTTGTAAATAGGATTGACGATAATATATAATATTATATAAAAATTTTTCAACATATTAATTAAAACAAACTATTATACAAATGATGTCAGAAGATTCTTATCTAACTCCATTAATTTCCTGTATCATAGAATTAGAAAAAAAAATAGATAATTATCGCTCAAGGATAATAGCTAAAATGTCCAATAGAAGTATTACTATCTCTAATCCAGGGCTGGGAAAAGTCTACACAGTAGTAAAGAGTTTTTATAATTGCTTTTGTGATCTTGTCGATCGGTATGCGCTCAATAATATTAATGTTTTTAGTTTAAGAAAAAAAAACTATCCCTTCCTGTGAATATCTTGGTGACCTATCTCATGCAGCGGAAATCAATTTTAAATTTTTGTATTAGAAGATTTATAATAATTTAAATTTAAAAATAAAGATAATTCAATCTTTGATATTGGCTATTTTTTATTTTAATAGATAAATTTCATTTATATATATATTTATTTTTTTTTATTCAAGATTTATTTTTGGAAAATTCAGAATTCATAATTTTCATTATTTTTAATTAATTTTATCGTTTATTTTAGATAATAAAAGAAGTCATTCCAACAATTCTAATTTTATTATAGAGAAGAATTATGGTACTTCACAAATAGATATTGATTTGAAAGCAACGATAAAATTTTTGGAAAATGTTTGTTTTTATATAAATTATTAATTATATTATATTTTTATTTTTAAGGTTGCATCGGTGATCAAGAAGAAGGCGATGCAGCATCGACAATTAGGAAAAATCCTTTGGAAAAGATTATTTCTTTTTTAAATTATTTCTTCACAAATTTAAAATTCAATTTCTGATTATATTACTAATTTTCATGGCATGTTTAGATTTTTATTTTTATTATTATTATTTTTTTTTATATCCAAAGAGCCATGCTCCAATAAACTTTATTAGGTTACAAATTCTATCACACATTTATTGAAATGACTAGAAATAAAATTTTACCATCCAGAATTATTATTATTTTTTTTTTGACTTTAATACTTTAGAAAATGGTTCTGGAACATGTCGAAATAATCAATAGAATAGAAGATAGTTTGAATTCAATTAATTTAATTGATTATTTATATATTTACTTTATTATAATTTTTAGGGATGGTGATATAAACTGGCACAATCTAATGAATCTAATACACTCGATACCGATAATGGTTGTATGTATATATTATGTTATTCTTTCAATTACTTTCATTATTTCAATTCCTCTAGGTCATAAAAGTCCCAAAAGGCAGATTTAACTAATATTAAAAGATCAACCTGGAAAAATCTGCAGCATCTGCATATTTAAGTCGGAAAGATAATTAAAATATATAAAAATTAAAAAATAATGTTTAGTTGTTATAATATACGTTTTAATTAAACTATTTAATTAGGAGAAGAAAAAAAAATAAAAGTAAATTTTATAGAAATAAATAATAAGTAATGTACTATAAAAGCCAATACTACAAATTAGTAACTAAAAATACTATAATAGTCAAGTGCAATAAGTATACTGTAATAAGTATTTAACTACATATATATTAACTCAACAAAATTTTAGATTCCTTAAGTCAAGATCTTTCTACTTTACATGGTTTCTCAAAAAGTATTAGTTTTTAAAACAAGATACCTGTTAATAAAATAATAAATCAAAACTTAATTAAAATATAATTTGCGTCAAAATTACTCTACAGTTAGAGAAGAATTTATTATTGATAAAGGTAAAATGATTGTAAGATTGAAAAATATAAATTTCAATATTAATTTAAATTTTTGCTTAACCTCATTTAAGAAATACCATCAAATTTTTTTAATATTCTTCTGGCTGACCATCTTTTTCCCATTATTGATTTCTAAAATTCTAAATTCCATACATTTATCAATCATTTAGCATATTAAATAGTACCAAGATTCCTTTTATAATTTGCTTAATTCTTCGTAAGGTATCCATTTTATTACCTTAAAATTCAATTTTCCATCTTGTATAAATTTATCAGTTGTTTCATTTCCACTTGTTCATTTGAGTTATACGGATTGCACCAATATCAATATATTCTTGATTACATTTTTGTTCATTTATATCACTTATAGTATGTAAGGTAGAAGTTATTTTTTTAAAAAAAATCATAAATTAATTTTTAGCTGAAGAAAAAAAATTGCTTGATAGGTCTAAATAACTTAATTTTGATATTTTTTTTTTCAGTTACAAATACGAAACAATTCACAAATAATTATTTTAGATTAAAGATATTTCCGTCTTTTATTATAAATTGACTATTTAAATTTAATAAAATTGATTAGACTTACAGTAATAGAAAGAAAGAAAAAATACTACATTCATTTTTATTAAGTTTGCAAAAATAAAGAAACGAAAATCCTTAATGTAATTTAATTGTATTAACTTTATAACATGACATACTGTAAGTTCGTTGATTAATACATTATTTATGTTTTATTATCAATTCTTTTAATTGATAATATATGAATTTCACTCACATAAAATATAATTATATGTAATATACCCTTATCTATTGAAAAAAAATAGAACTGTGAATAAAATAAGTGGTTTTTCAAATATTGAGACTATAACTCTAACTGTTTATAATACATATAAAAATAATTAAATAATAAAATAAGTTGTAATAAAATAATTAAATAATAAAATAATTAAATAAACACACTATCGTTAATTTTCATTGATCAAAAAATATCTAATTGACAAGGGAATTATTTTAAAAACATATAATTATACTATACAGTATATCTATTTGTCTATATTGATTATATATTTTTTTTTAATATTTTTCTATAAATAAAAAATAATTATATATTTTAGTTGCCTATACCAAATTTAGTATTAACATTTTCTCAAGCAAAATATTTTAAAACAATTGTATGTTGTTAACTTAGGAACATGATAAACAATAATAACTATTATTTATTCACATTAAATATGAAAACAATGACAAATTTTTATATTACTCCTTATCGAATTGAATCTTCTATTATATTATCAATCTATTACTTTATAATAATGCAGAATTTAGTTGAGCATATTGAATAAATTTATCTATTGCGACATTTCACTTGTCCATTTATCAAGATTATTTTTGAAATGTGTCAAGTAGCATATCCAGGGGGTGGCCTTAAAGCCATGTGCCTAATAACCCAGATTATCAAAATCCAAAAAATATAAAATCAAAAACAAAAAATTAAAATAAAAATCTAAAGTAAGATATCTGGGGTGGCCTTAAGCCATATACCCAATAACCCCTTGATTACCAAAAAAAAGAAATTAAAATATAAAGAAATTAACATATAAATCAAAAAGACCAAAAAAAAAGTAAAGAAATTTAAATATAAGACAAAAAACAAATTAAAATAAAAATAAAAATATCTAGAGGTAGTCTTAAAACCATGTGCCTCAATAACTCCAGATTACAAGATAAGATAATGAAAATGAAAGAAGAAAAAATTATAAAAAAAATCCTTAAAAAAAAACATATATCTTATGGCTAGGACATTGTAAGTATCTAAATATAAATAATTAAAAAAGTGAATAAAATATTATTACAGGTTGCCATTTTTTCAAAAAAAAAAATAATATATACCATTTTATTATCTTCTTCTGGTATAATTGACACAGACTTGTGAGTATCTAAATATAAATAATTAAAAAAGTGAATAAAATATTATTATAGGTTTTTATTTTTTCAAAAAAAAAGTGATATATACTATTTAATTATCTTCTTCTGGCATTATTGACATGGACTTATCTTTGAATCATAAAGGTACAGAAAAAGAGAACTTCTTCATCACTATCATCTTTACCTTCATCTTTACTTTCATCTTCATCTTCACCTTCATTTTCTCCTTCAGAACTACTTTCTTTAACTTCTTTACTTTCATCAAGCTTATTGATGGTATAGTTTATAGGATCTTTTTGTTCACTCTTGATAACAATTTTGAGTAAAAAAGGACAAGTAATATAGGCATATTGAAATATAATATAATGAAGATAGTAATAAGGGAATATGAGGAATAGGAGTACAAGAAAAGTTATGAGAAAATATATATTTTGCCAAAAATTTTGAATTTGAGAATTGAAGAAATAGAAGGAAAAGTAGGAAAGAAAATTTTGATATTAAGGAAGCAAGTATAGTAAAAGGAAAGGGAAGTAACAGTTAAAGAAAAAGTAACAGTTTAAAAAAGATTAGTAGTTAATATTAGTTTGAAAAGAAATAATTTCACAAGAAAAATTTATTTTTTACATATATTTATATATTTTTTTTTAATAAAAATAAAGTTTTTAGAAGAGTTTTAAAGAAAAAAAAATTAACAAAATAAATGAAGTAAATAAATAAATTTTTGAGATCATTTTATGTGATCGAAATATAATGATTGGAATAATCAAAGGATTCAAAAAGAAGTATGCATTTTTTAAGTATGACGATAAACTGTATAATATGAAATGCTATTTTGTACTGTACAATTTTATATATATTATAAAAATCTAATTGTACTGTATGAACTTTTTATGTTAAAAAACTATACAGTACAAGTATTTTTATATTAAAAAGCCAAACGGTACTAAATATAAACCCAACCTCTATAATATATATTATTATCTATTTATGTCAAAATAGGGGTTAGGGTTTGTGTCACATGCAAATGATTAGAGGTATTACATTTTATTATCACCACCTCAACACATCCCAACATTCAATTTTTTTAGGAACTTAGAATTTTTTGGATCTAAAATATTATTCGTCACATAATATTATCTGTCACATAATATTATTCATCACATTTATATATCATCCAGGTAAAATTTTCCACGGTTAAAATTAGGTATGATGATAAACTGTACAGTACGAAACGCTATTTTGTACTGTACGATTTTATATAAATTTTTGTACAAAATTCATACAATAATATATATATTATAAAAATATAATTGTACTGTATGAATTTTTTTATGTTAAAAAACTGTACAGTACAAGTATTTTTATATTAAAAAGCTGAACAGTATTAAATATAAGCCTAACCCCTGTAATATATATTATTATCTATTTATGTCAAAATTAGGGGTTAGAGTTTGTGTCACATGCAAATAAATTAGGGGTGTTACATTTTATTATCACCACCTCAACACATCCCAACATTCAATTTTTATTATATTTTTTTAGGGACAGAATTTTTTTGGGTCTAAAATATTATTCGTCACATTTATATATCATCCAGATAAAATTCTCACGGTTAAAATATCACGTGATATTGGTTAATCAACCGTACAAGCCACAAATAAATCGTACAAGTCACTATTCGTACAGTACAAAATAGCGTTTCGTACCGTACAGTTTATCGTCATACCTTAAAACCAATTCGGAAATAACTTATTTTAAAATTTTCTGGTCAGGTGATAAGCATGTGATGTGAATCTCGTTTTGTTCGAATTATTAATGTGGGTATCACACTTTCGCGGTACCAAAGTGTACGCGAGTTATAATTAATTTAATTAATTTAATAATAATTAATTTAACGATAATATTATATAATTAATTAAATAATGACATTTAAAATTTATTTAAATAATTTTAATTTAAATTCAAATGTCTAATATCTTCATTTTATATTTTCGAAATCTAGAGAGTCTATAAGACCCAAGATACCATGCCTGAACTCAGAATATTACGTATGAATATTATTTTATAATTAAGGAATAAAGAAATTCTACTGTGGATATTTCCGTATTTCAAATTAATTAAGAGTAAATTTAAATTAATTTACTTTAATATTTATTGCTGTATTCATTTATTTTATAATATCTAAAAATTTTCAATAATGATATAATTTTATTTATTCTTTATTTTTCTATCGGGATATATCTGTATAAAATTATTCAAAATATTTAACGTCAAAGATACTCTATAATGGTTAGGCTTACTTGAGAATAAGTTCAAATATTTGAGCAGTAATATTTGATTTAGTAATAATTTTATAATTATTATCATCATTGGGGACAGTATTTGTTAATTCTTTATTAAAGTAAGATGAACGATAACATAGGTTGTTATCTTATTCTTGGCCAACTTCAAAAAAATAATAATATTCTTTTTTTTTAAAAAAAAAAAAATCCAACGGAGTCTTGCTCCAATAAACTTTTATTAATAAATTAGGTGTAAATTTTTAAGATACATAATATTTATTTTACATTTATTGAAACTGACTAAAAATAACATTTTACGGTCCGACTCATCGTTGCCTAAGTGTAACCTCAGGAACTGATGGCCAAAACCCCATCAGATGTAATTATTATTATATATAACTATAATTATTATTATATTTGCATCCTAAGTTAATCCACACTCTAAATTTATGTATCGTTTATATCATAATATTCTTCTTTTTTATTAAGAAGTTTTGAAATACCTTGAGATAACTTTTCTAAAAAACTTAAATGTAATCTTTATAGATTTTTTTTTTTTGAATTTAGTTTCTTTTTACAATTTAGAAGAGTTAAAGAATGCTTATGTATCATAAATTCGTAATTTTAGAGAATGCATGTCACGTTAGACAACACTCAGTCTAGATATTCAGGTTAATTATCAATTCAGTGCTATAATATCTAGGGGGAAAGATCATAAGTTATTATATTCCAGTTCTAGAAGATTAAATAAACTTAAAGTATGTTTTAAAATTCTAGATAAATAATAATAACAATTATAATCATTACTATAATTATAATATAAAAACAGAAACGTAGAATATACTTTTTTTGGGTTGCCATTATTATTAATATCATTATTTTTAACTCAAAATATCTTAACTAATCATCAAATTTTTTTCTTAGTTTATGATTTTTAGTTCTCCTTATTCCTATAATTAATTTCATGGAAGTAAAAAAATATTCTGGTCTTTATATAGAAGATAATACTATTAAATTACAATATTTGATAATATTAGATCGCTAAATCCTTATGATGTAGATTAATTGTTTCTCCGCCTGAAATATAAAAGATATATAAATAAACATTATAATTATTGTATAATTATTATAATAAAATTTTTACTGCTTCCGGATGAAAGCTTTTTAAATCATTGTGAATTTTTCTTGATCAAACAAATAGATATAAATGCAATTAAGAACGTTGTATACTTTAATTCTCTAATTAATAAATATAAACAATATTATTATAGATTAATGATTAAATCAATTAATATCGAATATAATAAATATCAAAAATTTAATTGAATGGTCGATTAGTTTCATCTTTAAAATATATATATCAATAAATTATTAATATCCATTATTATCAGTTATAGCATAAAAATACGAATATTAAATTATAAAATAATCAACAATAATTTACTTTCTACCATATTTTAAGTAGCCCAAGAATGCTAAATCCTGGTCACCAGAAATAATGCTGTAGTACTTAAAAATAAAGTTAAACGTTCAATGGTAAAATAGAAATATAGATGCCAATGAATTATTAGAAAAAATTATAATTAAGATTATTCAATTAAATTTTTTTATTGTAAAGTGGTTATGAAAATTTTTTATTAATTTGGCTAAATAAATTGTTGAATCATTTGTTTATTAGCAATCAATATTATCTCATTAGAAATATTTGTCGTAATAAAATATTGGTTTTTTAATATAACAAATTCCAAAATTAGCAATAAATATAGCAAAGGATCCAGTGCATTCGAAAAATATATTAGCCGAAAAAAAAAATAAGCTTTATTAATAATTTATTAGTGAACAAAATATCTGACCTGGACATTTAATGAAAAGTAATATAGTCTTATGCTATTTTCTCAGTATAAAAAACTTAGCATATTTTAAATTCTTCATTAAATTCAAAGCAAATGTAATGATTTCATATATTTCCAAATTATAAAACGAGTAAAAAAACTCAAATAAATTTTTTAACAACTTTAAATATTTCATAATTCATAATTGAAAAATTATGATTAGTTCTAATAGATTTTTCATAACTACCATGAATTCACAATTTCCAAAAAATGAACATATTTATCTTTGATGACAGGATACAGTAAAGCATTATTTTCATTTTTAACTCTACTAAGAATTGAATTTTGGATATTACCATCTTTAAATGAAAATATAAAACTTTTATTTGTTTTTATCCATCCATTTTTTTGTTTTATCCTAAGCTAACGGATTATACCCGCCAATAATTTCGTCAATTTCTTTAACTTTAGTGACTACAATTGTGTTAGCGTATCCATCATAAATATCCCATCTTTACTTCCTCGAAGAATTAATTGAAATTCATAAGGATTATTTCTTGAAGAATAACTTGAATTAAATATTGTTGGTCGATTATCATTCCATGATGAAATCATTGCTGCATGCTCTTCATTGATAATAATTGAAAATAGTTCATTTACTCTTGTTGACAATTCTCGTTTCAAAATCAATCTTGGTGGAAAGATAATAGATTTTATTGGTCGATCTGGAAGTATAAGGTGTTGTTTCAAATCATTCCATATTTGTTTATCAAGAATTTTCTTATAAGGTTTAATTTTATCCATAACATCTGAATTTAAAATGTAAAAGTAACGAACATGTGGTTTGCATTGCTGCAGAATTGCTTTTAAAGTCATAAAGTTTTTGTCAGACCATTCTTCTAATTTCTCGGGTAAATTAGAACTCTGCGCAGTTCCCCACTTAATTATATAATCCCAAATTTCTGATTCTTTCATCTGTAGGTCATCACGTTTTAAATTGACTCTAAAGCAGATTCACGAAGAGAAGTGAATTCTGCGGATTCGAAAATTATATTGCAATAATATCATTACGAAATTGCGAAATTTTTCTAATTTTTAAATTTGCTATTTTTAAAAATTGAATGATAAACAAAGGTGAAATGAGTTCTTAACCAAGAAGCTTCGGATTCAATAAGATGATTTTCTAATTTCTCAGATAATTTTTCAAACTCCAACTCATTAGCAACAATCATCAAATTCTACATAGCGCTGTTATCTATATCTCCTGTATCAAAAATTCCGCCATAGATATATATCTGTATAAAATTATTCAACTTGTCAATTATTTTAATTTATATTTCATTATATTTCGAAAATACGAAAATACTATTAATGAATAATAATTAAATTACGTAAAAGCTTATTTGAGAATAATTTCGAATATTTGAGCAGAAATATTTGGTTTAGTAATAATTTTATTATTATCATCACTTGGAACTTTATGACGATCGATATTTTATTATATTTGAATGTGCTGTAAAGGATTTTTCCTTACTTTTAACTTTAATGATGACACTATAATCGCCTTTATCATTAATAAGTTCAATAAAGTTTTGAGATAACTTGTCAAAAAATTTTAAGTGTCATTTTTTATTTTTTTGTGAAATTATTGAGTCGAAAAAAAAGACTTAGCTGATGAAATGTCATCCAGTCATTGTTTGTACAACTTTATTTTGAACTTATGATCAAAATCACTAGTTTTGCATTTTAAAAATTTTTATTTATTTTTTTCCGAGTAAATGTTTTATTTATGGCACTCAAAAATCGTAAATCAAAATACAATAAATAGAAAATAAAATATTAAAAAAATGCTAAAATAAACCAAAAAATAATGAATATTTTGATGCATTTTTTGATTTATCATAATAAATAAACTACGAAAACTCTTCACTTTGGTTTCTTAAAAAAATTTATTTATTTATTTTATATATAGTATTAATCTTACTTATTGAATTGTCTCTCTTGTGCTGTACATGATTTTTATATAATAATAATAATTAATGTTCATTATAATAAATGTGTATGTATGTATCAGGAAATTTTTTTAGGCTCATTTACGTAATGTTACGGGCCGTTTTGACTTAATCAAAAATTCCTCCTTGTCCTATAAATTGCGATTGTAAAAATTGCGTAAAATTCCAGTAATTACGAAAAAATTACGGAAAAATTTCGGCAATTTTACGCCAAAAAAATTTTTTTTGACTTCAATCGCAATTTGTAGGACAGGGAGGAATTTTTGATTATGGTATTCTTATGACAGAACGAACTTCCTGATTCTGGGCTACAAGATGACATGTGCTTTATCCTTTTGGCACCTTATCTGACGATACATTATTGTTTAAAGTTAAAACGGCGTATAAATTCCGTAACATTACGTAATTATACACCTAAAAAAATTTCCTCATGATCGTTCTTTAAAAATTTCTGATAACTTTAGATACTTCATAATTATCAATATAGAAATCAGATGATGATCTTATTTGTTTTTCATAAGGATAACCATCACACGGCTACAGTAACAATCATAATCTAAAGTAAAAATTATTAGAATGAAAACTTCGCAAATAAAAATCATGTACATACTCATTCATAATAAAATTGCCCGTATAGGTATAATTTTAAAATTTGAAGGAGGTCAGGTTGTAGCACCTTATAATTCTGGTTTGAATGAAGTAAAAAACTTGAAGTTGATTGTTGGTAAGTTTTTTAAGTATTTTTTTTTTCTTAAATTTTATTTATTTTGTGAGTAATAAATTGGTTCATAATTAATAATAATAAAAATAAAAAATAAATAATAATAATTAACAAATAAATGCGGTGTCGCACCGCTAGTGTTTATTTTTATAATATACATATTATTAGGTCACAAATTCGCAAAATTTCACACAACGTGAGATATTGCCACATCATTTCTTAATGCATTTCGTACTACCAGTCTGGAGAAATTGCCTTTTAAATCATTTTAATTTGCAATTGGTCGCTCAATTCTTTTCGCGTATTTTGTGAGATAAAAATATTATTAATTATTAAATGCGATTTTTTTTTGCATACTAAAAAATAAAAAAATTTTTTTTTTCTTTTTTGAAAAAGAAAAATAAACTACAATTCAAAATTGCAACTTTCGTATTTTAAGCAAACAAAAAAATGTCTCATAAAATATGCCCAGAATGTAATCAAAAATATAATGAAAATGAAATATGGTGGTGCAAAACATGTAACTCGAAACGTTTTCGAAATGAATTTAATAAATGGACAAGTGGAAATAATAAAATAAATAAATTCATTCAAGATGCTCAACTAAACGCTACTGAACATTGGACAGTAGTAGAATGGATACCTTATGATAGATTTGAAGATGTTAAACAAATAGGTAGAGGTGGATATGGAACAATCCATTATGCTAGGTGGATTGATGGGTCGATTATAGAATGGGATATTGAAAGTAAACAATGGAAAAGAAATGGTGATAGTAAAGTGGTATTAAAAAGGTTTGATAAATCTGTGAAAATAAACGATGCCATAAATGAGGTAAATATTTTAATTAATATTTAAATTTAATTTTCAAATTATTTTATAAAGTTCTTTTAACTATAAAAATGTATATGTTATTAGATGGGAATTCACTTAAAAATACATCTTTCAATTCAATTTCATGGAATTACACAAGATCCAGAAACACACAAATATATGATGGTTTTAAAATATGCATCGGATGGAAATCTTCGAGACTATTTAAAAGTTAATTTTAATAATATTAATTGGTTTCATAAATTACAAAATCTATGGGAATTATCTATGGGGTTGATGAATATTCATGATTTGGATATAGTTCATCAGAATTTCCATCCTGGAAATATTTTATCATCCAATTTTGAAGATTCTATACGGATTTCAGATTTTGGATTAAGTAAACAAATGGAATCAAATACAAATTGTCCCGAAAAAAAGAATATAAATTTATTTGGTGTATTACCATATATTGCTCCAGAGGTATTAAGTGGTGGTGAGGAATATACAAAAGCTGCTGATGTATATTCATATGGAATTATTGGCTACGAAATAATTTCGGGCTTTCCTCCATATCCTGATATATCACATGATAAAGATTTGGCCATGAAAATATGCAACGGATTACGACCAAAAATTCCATTTAACACTCCAAAATTAATCAAAAGACTAATTATGAGGTGTTGGGATGCACAAGTTACACATAGACCCACTTTTAAAGAATTATATAGTGAGTTGAATAAATACTATTATCATTATAGGACATATTTAAACGAGGGAAAATATAGAGATTCAGAAATTGTAATTCAAATTAAAAAAGCTGAAGAATCGATCAATACAATAACTGCATTAAACACAACTCGCCTTAACTATCAAACACATCCACAAGCAATTTATACCAGTCGACTTCTTAATTATTCTAATCTTCCAAAACCCAAGAATGAAGAAAATTTTGAAAGAGAACTCGAAGAATGAACTAAGTCTATACCTGATTTATGTGCTGGTAAATAGTTTTTTTTTTTTACTTATTTTTTAATTTATCTTATTTAGGATTCAGGAATAATTGATTCGGATATGTCTAACCCATAAATTTATTATTGGATACTGTTGGAATTGTTTTGCCTTTAGATAAAGAACTTTGTCATGATATATTATTATCTATTATTATATTATATTAATTAATTATTATATATTATATATAATTTTTATATTTTATTTGTTATATATTTTTATATATTTTACTGTTATTTGTATTGTATATGAATTCTAATATTTATATTTAAATAAACCGTGCGAAATAGTACATGGACTATAATTTTTTAACACGTAATCTTTTGTTGTTTAAATAATAATTAATTCATTAAAATGAATAAAATTTGTCTGTAAATTATATAAAATTCTAGCATTCTTCCAATAAGGTAATTACGCGTGTTTGTTTCTCGACAGTTAGTTTCATATTTGTAATAAAAATAATTATTTAAACCAATTTTTTAATTTTTCAAAAACCTTTTTATATGTAAACTCGAAAATTATTTAGTTTAGCAATACTCTTCACTGAGAAATTTTTAATATATATCAGTTCATGTGATATAGAAAATTTTTCCTATTTTCTTTCGTAATTCGAATGTCAAATTAAAATTTTTTTAAGTACACTATATACCGGGACGGGAGATAATAATTAATCGTTCGTCGTCGTAACAAGAAAAAAAAAACATGAGATAGTTCATATGCAAATAGTACGTGACATAGTTGATATCTTTTTTTCGAATAAAGCTTGCAGCAGCAATCCTCCATAAAGTTTAGTTTTACTTTTCATAAAACTTTTCACTATCAATAATTATGTTATTAATAATGTTTTCGAAAAAACGAGTTTGAGTAGAATACAATAATAATTTTCTCTATTCTCAATTTTATTTAGGAAACTTAAATTAAAAACTTTGACCGAAGGAATTTTTCTTTTTTGGAATTAAAATATCTTATTTAATCTATATAAACAATAAAATAATAGATATTTTTTTTTTGATTCAATTAAAAAATTATTAAAAAAAATATCACAAATATTATAAATCGATTTGGGTGAGAAAGTATTACTTAATGAATTGAAAAAAAAAAGATTCAAGCTTGTTATCATATTCGTTCATCGTATTTTAAGATAGGAAAGACAATTTTTCAGATTATTTATCTAATCTTATGCAAAATACCTCTTACAAAGAATATATTACATATAAGATATTTTATGAAAAATAAAATAAATAATGAGCAGACAATTTATTTATTTATTCTATAACTCGAATTTGCTGTTGATATTTTCCATTTCACTATTTTGAATTGAAAAAAATAATAAGGATAAAAGGCATCGAAAATTGAAAATCATGATAGTGTTCTTAAATTCTATGGCATCACTAAGCAAGGTAAAAATTTATTTAATATTATGCTTAATATTAAGATATAATATATTATTAATTTCTCACTTATTTATTTATTTATTTAAAATTATTTTTATTTTTTAGAGAGAATATCAACAATTATATGATTATTCTTGAATATGTTAATGAAGGTTCTCTTCGTCAATATTTGAAAACCAATTTCCAAAAAATGGATTGGAATGCAAAGTTACATCTCGCAAAACAAATTGCAAATGTTTTGATGGTTTTACATTCTAATGATATCATTCATGGGAAATTCGTAATTATTTCATTTTAAAATCATTCTTTTTTAAAAATAAATTTCATAATGAATTAATTTATTTTTTAATTTATTTTTTTTATTTTTTTAATTTTTTTATTTATTTATAATTTTTTTCGTGTTATAATTTTTTTTTATTTTATAATTTTTTATTTTATTTTTATAATAGAATTCTGAAAATATTCTTGTTCATAATGGGATCATTAAATTTAATGTTTTTCTATTAACAAAAATTATTTCCGATTCTTTAAGTTTCCTTACAAATAATCTTGGTATTATTTGATAATTAGATATTGATATATTATTAAGTTCTCATTTATTTTATCTATTGAGAATACCAACCATTATAATTATCCTCGAATAAATTAATGAAGTTTCTGAAGGTTCTCTTCGACAATATCTGAAGCCTGGTTTTCAAAAAATGGAATTCTAACGATTTATTAAATTTAGATCATTGGAAGTGATTAAATTGATCAGATTGTAGTATAAAAAGAAAAAGCCGCAAAAAAGATTGAATATATTCAGAATTTTCATAATTCGAAGATGATTATCACTAATTCCAGCACAAATGTAATATCTCTTGGGATAGCTTCTGCCTTCTTTTTTATCAAATACCATTTTTTTGTCCTTTTTATTCTCTGCAAAAACTTTCTTTAGCTCAAAAACAAAATAAGAACATTCAGCAACTATAAAAATAATAATAATTTGACTTGTGATTCAAACGGGAAAGCAATAAATAATAATATTTTTGTAGATAAAACAAAAGAAGGGAATAAAAAGAAACTTTGAAAGGTAAATAATAAAAAAGAATTTAAATATTTTTTAAAAAGAATGCAAATAATACTAAAAATTAAAAATTGTTTATGATTCAAATAGTTTAAATTAATTTTGAAAGTTAGTTTGATAATTTATTATTTAATATGAATTAAATATTAAAGTACAGTAAGTTTAAATGTTAGATTCAAAATTACAAATTATTACAATTATTTTATATATAGAAGTATAAAACGTTCATAAACATCGGATGATTTTATTCCACAATTAAATTTAATAGTGAACATTTTAAATTTTTGAAGAATATAAAATTCAATTTAATATGGAATAAAGTTCTAAATAATATTTCAAATAGAGTTTCATTTGTGATAATATAATGCTGATCATAATTAAGCATAAAACCAATTTTTTCCATGGTTCATTACGGTGTCAAAGATATTGTTCGGATGATATTGAAATCCTTTTACTGAAATTGATTTTAACTTTAGAAGAGTTAGGATCATATAATAAATATAAAAATGAATAAAAAAAGTTAATATAAAAATAATTGATTAATTGAAAATATGATGATATAATTCTAATTCAAAAATCTTTTTGTTAATTGATTTTTTAAATTATATTGCCAATTGCAGATTTTTTAATGAAATCCTGACATCCAATTCAATTCATCCTTTGATAACATTTTAGATAATGTTTCTCTATTTATTTATATATTAAAATAAATAAGTACAATAAATCAAATATAAAAATAGAAGCAATGGAATAAACAAATAAATAAATAAAAATATAGATTAGAATAAATACAAAAATGGAGTATAGCGAATGATTTCATAAAACTAGCTACATAAATTTCACTTACTCTTCACTCTACAGGAATATTGAAGATTGTTTTTCATCTTACTTTGACTATGAATATCTTCGAAATGCATTTTTCAATGAAGAATTCTATTTTATTCAATAAAAATAGTACATTAATAAATATATGAAATATATATTTAATACACCAATAATTATATTAATAATATTATTATATATGTAATTATTACATATCACTTCGGAATAATCTTTTAGAATCGCCCAATTGTTTTTCACAATACCAAGAAATGAGTTGTTTTCTAAATCAATAAAATTATTTATTAGTAATGATAAATAATAATAATATCAAATTGAAAGAATAATAAGTATATTAAAATAATTTTATTTAATAAAGAATTACTTTTTCTCATAAATAAATTAAATGTAGGATACCTCAATCATTGCCGATGACGATGATGATCTGCAGGAAGATAAAAAAAAAACCCTATGGGCTTAAATACTGCCAATTTGCACTTAAGAAATTTTTTGTGTATAAAGATTATTCACTTAAATTTGCTACTATAGAGTTATAATATTGAGAATTAGATTTATTTAAGCTATTTTTATGTTCGTGTTAATCTTTATAATAACTATACAATGTAATATCCTAATTTTGATATTAGAGATACTGTAAAAAATAATATCCTTCAACGATATTTGGTACACATTTAAATGAATTCTTCAGGCTCCATTGTGGTCCAAAAAAATTAAATAAATGGTTATGCAATAAAATTATCTTTAAAAAAATAACTTATATTATCATATATTTAATATTTATATACCATGAATTGGTTTCAATATTTTATATATCATGAATTGGTTTTTATGAGATACTGATTGTAATTTTAAAGATAATAAAAATATATTTTTAATAATAATTATTTAGGCAAATAAATTTCATATTAACTAGTAAGTGACCCATTGCTTCGTGATCACATGGTACGATCATTAATGAATTTATACTTTAAGAGCGAAAATTATGTGTTTTCCTATTATTTATCGTACTAGCAATGGATAATTAATTTATCTACAAAAGTCTTTTGATAGCTAAAATAAAATATGCTATTGATAGGATATCTAATTAAAAAAAAATAGTGTAATATTAATATTTTGCCTATCCTATTTCGTAATTCGAATCCAAATCAGTGTTAAAATTCAAATTTTGAATCCAGTCCGGAATATAATTAAACATGCAAAATTTGTGTGGATGCCTTTTTTTATGTGTGGAGTTTTCAAATTTTGTGCTAGCGCACATTCCGTAAATTGAATTTCAAACACTGATCCAATTTAAAAATTTTCGACTATACTATATACCGAGACTAGAAGATAACAATTAATCGTCTAAACAAGAAAAAAACAAAATAGTTCGTATTTCAATAGTACGTGACATAGTTGATATCTTTTTTTCGAATAAATGTTTATTATACAAAACTCGTGACACAAATTTCAATTTTATTTTACATTAAACTTTAAATCATCATAATTATTTTATTGACAATTTTTTCGAAAAAATGAATTTGAGTAGATAATATTCTTTATTTTTAATTTATTTATTAAATGTAAATTAAAAAATCTGACTTAAAGAAATTTTCTTTTTTTGGAAATTATAAATATCTTATATTACCTAATTAAATAATAGTTTAGTTTAATATTTATTTTTTTTTGATTCAATCAAACAACTATTTAAAAAATATCACAAATATTATAAACCCATTTGGTAGAGAAAGTATTACATAATGAATTAAAAAAAAATACTCAAATTTGTTATCATATTTATTCAGGCAAATATTAAAACAGTTTATTTTCATATATAAAATTTTTTTTTCAAATAATTTATGTAATCACATGCACATGCAAAATGGAAATAACAAAGAATACATTTCAAATAAAATATTGATCAAAATATTTAATAAATAATGAATAATTGTCAGAACAAGTATACGTTAGAGATTTCTAAATATTTATTCGAAAATTCTTTTAAAATCAATCATAATATCTCGAAAAAAATCTTAATAAAGTATTTAATGAGGATTCGAATTTCTAAATTTAATAAAAAAAAGAATATTTAAATCTTAGGGATTTAACTTAAAAATTTTTACTAATTATGTAATGATTAAATGAAATAATTATACGAATATAAAATAAAGTAACTTGTGACTATCAATAAATGTAGTAGTACAATAATGTACTTTGTACATCTGTCGTACTGAATGTGACTAACAATATATAAATTGGCGTAAGCCCGATTCATAAATTGTTATTCATCATGTTCCAAAGAAAAACAAACGAAAAAGAATGGGATAATTTAATTATTGAAGATACTTTTCAAAAAGAAAATATCCAATTTTTTCAATTCTCTGAATTTCAGGATGTAAAATTGATTACTTCCAATGTTCTTAAAGCTACTTTTAAAATTTCTCAAAAAACAGTGTATCTCAAAAATATTTATTTAAATGATAAATTTACATTAGAAAATTTAATCAATGAAGTGAGTTAAATTATTTATTTATTTAATAACTCGAATATGGTTTTAATATTTTCTATTTTCTCTATTTTAAAAAAGATTAAAAGGCATCGAAGATTAGAAGTTCATGATAGTGTTCTTAAATTCTATGGCATAACTAATAAAGGTAAATATTATTAATTTATTCAATTATTTATTTCATTTATTTAAAATTATTTTTATTTTCATAGAGAATAACAATAATTATATGAGTATCTTTGAACATGCTAATGAAGGTTCTCTTCGTCAATATTTGAAAGCCAATTTCCAAAAAATGGATTGGAATGCAAAATTAAATCTCGCAATAGAAATCGCAAATGTTTTGATGTTTTTACACTCTAATGATATCATTCATGGAAAATTTGTAATTATTTTTTTTTAAAAATATTCTTATTCAAAAATAAATTTCAAAAATAAATTATTTTTAATCTTTATTTATTTTATGTATATTTAGAATTCTGAAAATATTCTTGTTCATAATGGGATCATTAAATTTAACGTTTTTGGAATTATTTCCGATTCTTTACGTTTTCTTACAAATACTATTGATTCAATACAATACATGGATTCTCAATATTTAGAACTCTTCTGCACAATTGGCAAAAATAAGAGTTCTGATATTTTTGGTCTAGGAATTATTCTTTGGGAAATTTCCAGTGGTGATCTTCCTTTTGTAATGGAATCCTTATCAAATGTTGATTTGATAAACAATATTGCAAAAGGAAAAAGAGAAATGGTGGTACCTGGAACACCTCACAGATACAAGGAATTATATACTGGTATAATTTAATTAAATATATTAAAATCATTTTGCATAGTTAACATATATTATTAATGTTACATTTTTGACAGATTGTTGGAAGCACAATGGAAACTCACGACCAGATATTTTTCAAATTGTTAAAAATCTTTCTGAAATCGTTATCTCTGATGCAAGCTCTGAATCTCAATCACAACCTTATAATGTCACAGGTGTTAAATTGGGAATTTCAAATATGTAAGTTGCTTTTTTTTTAATGTTCATATATATATTTAAATCTCCCGAACATTTATTAAATATAAAATACTTCTTATTAAGGCAAAATAAAGAACCTGAAATTAAACCTGTTCCTGTTGATGTCAGACTGAAATTAATAGTTTTATTAACGATATGATTGGATTTTTCATTGTTATGCGCAAAAACCAGCCCCGAGTGGTTCAACCAATTATGATCAAAAAATATATTAGAGAACACAAAAAAAATCCAGTTGAAATTCTATTTGAAATGATTCGCCATCCATCTTATTATTGGTTTACTAGCTTAATAGGGTTTTTTTACCAAAATGGAATTGGGACTGTTTCTGATTATCAAATGGCATTTAAATTTTATAATTTAGCTGCCAATGAAATAATTGATATCTCCTCTTCTAATTCTTCCCTAAGGAAGTTATACAATATCAACAAAGAAATTAGTACTATCTCTCTTGCAACTATGTATTTTGATGGTCTAGGTGTTGAAAAGGATACAAAAAAAGCTTTTCAGATTTATCATAAACTTGCTAATAAAGGATCTTTTATAGCTTTGAATTGGGTAGCATATTGTTATGAAAAAGGGTTCGGTGTTGAAAAAAATGAAGGGAAGGCATTTGAATTATATTTGAAATCTGCAGGAAAAGGATATCCTGTTGCACAATATAATGTTTCCAGGTGTTATGGATATGGAATAGGAACAGCAATAGATGAAACTAAAGGATTTCAGTTTAACATAAAATCTGCTCGCGCTGGAAATATTTGTACAATGTGCAGTGTCGGTTATAGTTATGAATATGGTTTAGGTGTGGCTCAAGATAAAAAAGAAGCATTTAAATGGTATCTGAAGGCTGCCGAAAAAGAATATAGTATGTCACAATTTAATGTAGGAATTTGTTATGAATATGGTGACGGAATTAATATTGATCAAATGAAAGCATTTGAATGGCATAAAAAAGCTGCAGAAAATGATTATGATAAGGGTCAATACATGCTTGGAAAATGCTTTTATGAGGGTTATGGAACCAAACAAGATATTGTAAAAGCTATATATTGGTTGAATAAAGCAAAGAAAAATGGGAATACGGAAGCTAATGAAGCATTAGAAGAAATTATCAATGATATAGTGTAACATTTAAAAAAATAAATTTATTCTTTTTTATTGTAAAGACAATTAAGACTATTCTTTATTAATAAATTTTATTTTTAGAATAAATTTATTTTCGAATGCATCGAATCCTTTGTTATTTTTGTTTGCAATCAATATTATTTTAGTTTGGATTTTGTTTTAAAATCAACATTTATTATGACAAATATTTAAAAATAAAAGAAATTCATATTTCTAAATATATTTTAGAGTAAAAATACTTTTAATAAATAAATAAATAAATAATTTGGAAAATAAGTATAAAATAATCATGATATTGCATAACTGATCCTTTTTTTCTTTTTTTTTGTGTATTTTCTCATCAATTTATTTTTTTATGACTATGAGAATGTTATATAATGCAGTGTATGGTTAAAAATGACATCCAAAACTGATGTTTTAACAGGATAATTCTCCAATCCATACCACAAAAAAACTGTAAATTCAAGACAAAAAAATTAAAACATTGGACTTGCCAATAAATTATCCAATTTGAATGGGAAACCTGAATGGATTATTTAATTATTGAAGATACTATTCAAAAGTAAAATATTTCATTTTATCAATCTTACATTCTGAAATTTAGGGAATTGATTACTGTCAATATTTTTAAAGCTACTTTTAAAAATTTCTCAAAAAATTGTTGCTCTAAAAGACGTTTGTTAAAAGGGCAATGACAAATTTTTATAAATGAAGTATCTTATATCATGAAATTTTTTATGGTACCTACGTAATGGTAAATGTTACGGAATTCACACGGAGCCGTTTTGACTTTAAACTGTAATATACCGGCAGATATCGGTACTAAAATGATAAAACACATGTTGCCTTGTAGCCCCTTTTGTTCGTTTATAAGAATACCTTAATCAAAAATCCCTCCCTGTCTCAAAAATTGCGATTGAAATCAAAATACTGAATTTTTTGGCCGCGAAAGTTGCTTTTGGTTCTTAATAACTAAAATTATTGAAAAATGCTTATGAACGCTAAATAAAGTAAATGAAAATATTACTGCATTTATTTTTCTAAATATATATATATATATATATATATATTGATTTTTCTAAGGTCAAATAATTTATATCACAGCATTAATAAAATAAGTAAAAAATGAATGTAATTAATCTTTTATAAAAAATATGATTAAGACAAATTATCTGTCCAAATTGTTTGTTTTATTAGCATTAATAAATAATATACGAATATTTATACTATAATTCAAGAAATATAAACGGTCTTTTCTTCTTATTAAAATGGTTTCCTTTCCTGAAAATGAAAACATTATATTATAGTATTGCATTATTTTAATTATAACGAAAGAATTAAATTAATAAATAAAAGTAAATTTTCATAATCTGTGTATTTCAAAAGTTACACTATGTAAACTTAAAATATAAAGGTTTACTTTAATAGATTAATAAGCAAAAAATTCCATCCGAACTTTAATCTTATTCTTTGCGCTGAGTAATGACATAAAGTCTATAAGCAATTTCAAAAGGAAAGGTTATCGAATTTATTTATTAATAGCTAGTCCGTCTGCATATGAACTAATTGAAAATCTTTTGCTACATATTATTTGAGAACACATTGACATATTAAGAATAATATGTTTTGGTGATTACATAAAAATAAATTTTAAACATTAACAGAGTAATTTTAGATGGATTTTACAGGTTCAAAACTGTAAATCTAATAAAATAAATATTCAATTAATTTTTTTTAAAGAATAAATGATCTAATTATTGCTATTTTAATCAAAATACTTATTATTAAATAATACTCATTAAATTATCATCGTATTAATCATAAAACAATTCCTTATTTCAAAATAATACAAAATATATCACTATTTTTAATCATTGCATTCATTATTAAATAATGTCCATTAAATTATTAAATATATATGTAAATTTACTTAGATTTAGAGACTTTTAGCTATACTTTTGTCAAAACAATACAAATTTTTTTTTATTAATTTTGTAAATTGGCAATGTTTAAAGACTATTTGCACAATTTTTAAGTTTGGTAAAAGCTATATTAAATATTTAAATTAAAAAATTCAATCTTTCAAAAAAATTTTCAATTGAAATGGTAAGAATTGATAAACTTTATCTATAGATTTCATGTACAGTATTTAAAATAATTCAGGTCACATGGATGAACGCTTGTATGGTGTAACAATTTTTGTGTAATGGAATACATCAGATTTCGATCTGCAATTACGAGAAATTTATTCGGTGGTGATGCAAGCACTGTACATGTATAAATTGGGCCCATTGTAATTTATTATAATCAATCATGTCCCAAGAAAAGTCAATAGGAAAATAATGGGAAACCTGTATGGACAATTTGATTATCGAAGAAGCCCTACAAAAAGAAAATATTCCATTTTACCAATATTTCGAAATTGAGAATGTAAAATTGATTAGTAGGAATATTTGTGAAGCCATTTTTAAAACTTCTCAAACTGTCGCTCTTAAACGTGTTTCTCTGAATGATGAAGTTACATCGGAAATTCATGATAACATCTCAAGTTATATGGCATTGCTAAGCAAGGTAAATATATAAAAATTTAAATTTTCATACTTAATAGAGTAAACAATTAATAATACATTTATTAATTTTATTTTCATAGAGAATACCAACAATTATATGATTGTCTTCGAATATGTGAATAATGGTTCTATTCGTCAATATTTGAAATCCAATTTTTGAAAATTGGATTGGAATGCAAAATTAAATCTTGCAAAACAAATTGCAAATAATTTGATGTATTTAAATTCCAATGATATAATTTATGGAAGATTGGCAATTATTTTCTCAAAAAAAATTTCACAAGTGAATTATTTTAATTTTAAAAGTATTAATTAGAACTCTGGAAATATTCTTATTCATAATGGGAATATTAAATTAAATGTTTTTGTAATAACAAAAATTATTTCTGATTCTTTAATTTTCTTTACAAATACTCTTGGTCCAATACAATACACGAATCCTCAATATTTGGAACTCTTCAATACGATTGGCAAAAATAAGAGTTCTGATATTTTGGTCTAGGGATTATTCTTTGGGAGATTTTTCGGTGTAATCTTCCTTTTGTAACAGAACCCATTCTTTATTCCTTTTTTTGGAAAAGAATGCAACTTTTCCTTTTTAAGAGAAAACCGTCGGAATATTTAATTCAAAAAAAAAAAAATCGTGAAATTTTATTTAATAAAAAAATCTTAATTTCGACCAAGTTTGAATTCATATAGCAATTTCGTACTCTATACTTAATTTTAATATTTTATAATATAAAAAATTAATAAATAGTTTTTTATAATTTAATAAGTAAGATATAAATATAAATATAAAATATATAACACATTAAATAAATTTATATATTAGACATATCCAAATCATCATCATCATTATAATTGTCATCGTAATCACCTAATTAAAAAACAAATTAATTATGAAATGTAAAATGAAATATAAGGTAAAATAGGATTGATACTTACTAGAATTTATTTGATAAAAATTATGTTAATTCTTCAATGTCTATTTCGAAATTTCTTCATTTTTAGATTTTGGAAGATTTGAAAAATTGAGAAATCTGTGATATAATTGCTTGCGAATGTGTTTTTTATTTTGATCCTAAAACTTTATGCTCAAATAATTTATCTTTACTATCAAAGTTTCATCTAAAATCAGATTTTCTATATTTTTTATGTGTCTTTAATATTTTTTAGATTATTTATTATTTTATAAATATCCATATGGAAGTGAAGTAATTTACATTTTTTTATATGTTTTGAATCCCAGAAAATATTAATTAATTATAAAATTGTCTTTATTTGATAAATGAAGAATGTAACCTCGTGTTAATTAAGGATTTACTTGAATTTGATATTGATATCATTTAAAAACAGATACAAACAATATGCCTAATTAAGATGTGATGAAAGAATTATATTTATTGAAAATATAATAAGAATCTAGTTGAAGAATAATTCGTCTTGGCTGCATTTAATAAATGAATACAACGGCTAGCAAATTGATTAATATGTATATGAATAATTTGTACAAATACACTAGCAGATTGTGACACAAAGGGCTTGATTATTTGTCATTTTAAATGGCGTAATTTGGTGTGACTTACGACATTGTAGAATTCAATAACCATTCCATTTTAATAATGCCCCAAGAAAAGACAAACGAAAAAGAATGGGAAGCCCAGATGGACAATTTGATTATTGAAGATACTCTTCGAAAAGAAAATATCCCATTTCATCAATATTCTGAATTTAAAGATGTAAAATTGGTTAATGGAAATGTTTTTAAAACTACTTTTAAAACTTCTCAAAAAACTATTGCTATAAAATGCATTTCGTTAATGATAAATTAACACTAGACAATTTAATAAATGAAGTTAAATAAACCTTTTTTTATTCTATTATGTGAATATTTTTTTGTAACTATTTTTATTCTTTTTAATTGAAAAAGATTAAAAGACATCGAAAATTGGAAATGTATGATAATGCTCTTCGATTCCATGGAATTACCAAGCAAGGTAATATATATAAATACTTAATAAACATAAACAATTATCATTAATCTATTTATTTTATTTGAAGAATTTTTATAGAGAGCATCGATAATGATATTATAATTCTTGAATATGTTAATAATTGTTCTCTTCACCAATATTTAAAAACTAATTTCCAAAAGCTGGATTGGTACGTAAAATTCAATATTTCAAAACAAATTGGCAACATTTTTAACGTTTCTACATTCAATGATATTATTCATGAAAAATTGGTAATAATTTCTTACTTAAAAATAAATTACAATCAAATGAAATCTTCTTAATTTATGAAAATTATTATTGAATATTGCTATTACTTGTTTAGAACTTAAATTATGTAAAGATAATTCGATAATCTTCGTACAATAACTTAAAATTGCAGAAAAAGTATCAAATGTAGTTGTGGAATATAAATCTTGACAAATATTTCTTATATTTTGTTGGAAATTTCGAGAGTCGTTATAATTAATTTTTGAGGATACTATCACAAATGTGCAAAGTATTTCGAACACTTTCGCCTATCAGTCTCAGAGTTTGCCTCACACAAACTAATTTTTTAATATGCTCTATCTGCCAGTAGGTCAAGCAATCGTCAATCTAAACTTGCCTATCTTGAAACAGACAATAAATATAATATAATTCTTTTTAATTCTTTTTAATTCTTTATTTTTAATCTGAAGGCTCAGTGAGTAAGTTGGAGCAAAAGGTTAACACAGTATCAAAAAAATATTTAACAGTATTTCAAAATACACAACACAAAAGGTAAGTTTATTAAAATATAAAGGTACAATTTTAAAGTAAAGTATAGAAATATTACAGGTTACATGTCTATTTTACTGTCCCTAAAAGAAGTTTACTTTCTATCTAATGATAATAATATTCAAAACTATCTGTAATTATTAATTAACTGAAGTCTAAGAAACTACTAAGACTACTGTTTTCTGTCTCCAATGACCACTTCTTTTATACTTTTTACCTTCATTCAAATTCTACCCATCATCCTTTGTACTTCATCCTTCATCCTTGCACATTATCTTATGGATGACAACACGTGGCACAAAATAAAATAAAATATTACGCCAATCGGTCAACCTGATTCAAAATTGCCATTACTCAAGGATCTCACATTTATCTCTTTCTACAACACGTTATCTATCAGCAGGATTGGCCTCTGGCACAGATAACAACTCAAACAATTACAATGATAGTGTGATCTGAGAGGTACGATGAGTAAGAGGAGTAGAAGTATCTCCACCAATTACTCGAACACTTTAAATTAGAGTAGTCTTACTGATGCAAATTTTATTTAAGCGAGGTAAGTGAGTTTATTATTTAAGTAGATGAATTTTATTATAGAAACTTATAGACACAACATCTTGTAATATTTCTACTATTGACTACCACTAATCTTCTATACTAATATTAATGTTATAAGCAGATATTATGATAAAATTATTATTATTATATAAAAAAATGCAATGATAATAAAGGAAAAATTCTTCGTTTTTCACTCCTCAAGGTCTCATCTGCGGCCGCGCGATCACAACTTCTTTATATATCTTTCTTTTATATCTTTACCGTAAGTTGCCACCCATAACACATTTTCTTTTGGAGGTGTTACACGAGGGTGAATCCTCTGTACTTCACCCAAACTGTAGTACACGACCTATCTTAGTACTGCTGCCACCTCTACTCGCCACCCTCAATGGCCACAGACATTTTCGTGCCATCACGATGGGTAATTACTTCTTATTGAATTTTTCTGAAAAGAAATAAAGAGCTGCAAGATATGAGAAAAATTGAGTATTATGTATAAAAAGTTACACGGAGGATCGTCTAGAGAATGAAAATGATTTCAAACAGATAATTATGATATGAAGAAAATTTAAATAAAAAATAATTATCTTTATTTAAATTAAAAAAATTGATTAATCAAAATGAATTTTCATATATAAAATAATCAGATATCTCGTAGGAGTGAAAAATACGTCATGCATAAAATAAATAGAGAAATTTCGTTACTAAATATTGTATATATTAACTAGCCATTATTTTTTTAGAGTTGGATAACAACTCCGATCAAATATAATTAAGGAATAGTACGCATAAATAATACCTTTTACATCATTTTTAAAAAAATCTTATTCGAATATAAATGATAAATATAAAAATTTATTGATACATCTTTTTTTTTATAATTAAAAAAAATAAACTTCCATCTTACGCACAGAAAATGCTTGTATGCCCAGAATGCAATGAAAATATAACGCTTTTTGGTGCAAACCGTGGATCTTAAAACATGGTTTTGATAAATGGACAAACGGAAATGATACAATAAATAAACTTATTCAAGATAATCAACTAAACGCTGATTTTTATAAAGCAATAGAATGGATACCTTATGATGGATTTCAAGACATTAAACAAATAGCAAAAGGTGGTTATGGTATTATTTATTATGCTAAGTGGGTCGGTGGAAATATTGAAAATTGGGATATTAAAAAATCAACAATGGTCAATTTGAAGTGGCGTTAAAAAAATTTGATGGTATTGTAGATATAAATGAGGATTTTTAAATGAGGTATAATATATTATAAATAATTATGATTTAAAAAAAAAGTGTTATTTAGATGGCAATTTTCTTGAGAACAAATGGTGAAGAGTCATCAGCTTATCTTAATGAAATTACAAAAGATCCAGAAACTCACGGACTTATTATATTATGAAGGTGGAAGTCTTAGTTAGAAATTATTTAAATAATTATTTTAATAATATTAATTGGGAAAATAAATTAGAACATTTAAAATATTTAGCTTATAAATTTTCAAAAATTCATAAATTAGATATAGTTCATCGTGATTTTCATCCTAGAAATATTTTAAAATATCGTTCTGATTCTGATTAATTGTATATTTCACATTTTGGATTGAGTAAATTAATTACAGCAAACAAAAAATCTTCAAAAGAATACCATTTCTGGATTATTACCCAAATATAATTTAATTTATTTTGATTTTTTATAACAATGCACAAACTTTTGTTTGCACTGACAACTTATAATTACTCATTGTATCTTTTTATTCGCTGAATAATTAGTAAAGCCTAAATAATAATCTCTCTCTTTGATTATATTTTTAAAGAGATTATAAGATTCAATATTTTACGAAGAAAATATTTATTTAAATATTTAAAAAGAGGATTTTTTTTTTATTGATAAGAAATAATTATTATTATTTAAAATATTGAAAATATCATTTTGAAAATTTTAATAAAAGACCTTGAAGAATTAAATAAATCAGTTTCACTTTAAGTTTTAGTAAATATCAATTATATTCCATTTTCTTTTTTTTTCTTTTTTTATTTATAATTATTTTATTTAGTTCCTTCTAAGTTACATATAAAATATGCAAAGAAAAGAACAAAAAAAAAGAAATATAATAATATGAAGTTATTTCATCATACGCCAATAATTAAATGAATCGACTTTAAAGAACAAGGACATTTAATGATTAAAATGGAAAATTCAAAAAAAAAAATTAATAAGCATATAAATGAACCAAATCAATTTTTTGCCAGTATTTTCATTTCAACAAAACTTGTTGTGTTTCTAGATTTTTATCTTGAGAATTTTTTTAATCCATCAGAAAGATTAATGCAACTTATAAATATATAATGATGTTGAAAAAATTCTTACCTAATAAAGAAAACTATAAATAATGTGTATACAAACAAAATAAAAAAATAAAAAATTGTTACTCAAAAAAAAAAATACCTTAATACACAAAGAAAGATTGGCATAGAAAAGAAAATTGAATCAGGTACTTTGAAATTAAGATGTATTCGTAAGTCACATGAGACACATGACTATATTGGGTGATACGATCATCAATCCCATAAATTTTCGAAATTTCTATAATCTCACTTGCAAAATAATAATAGAGGTCGAGGTGTTCTTGCTCAGTAAAAAAAAATCGAGCAATAAATTAAATAAATAATTTTTTATTTATACATATGATTTTTTAATATTAGAAAGACAAAAGGTTGTAAGCAACGCAGTATGCTTATTTTTTGTCACACTTCAATTAAAAAAAAAATTTAAGCACGTAATAGAAAACGTTCTGGAATGTTAATATACGAAAAAATATAGTAATGATGAGATTTATTAATAGATTTTAACACATAATTTACTAATTTATACCAAAGTGAAATTCTATAATTATCCAAAATTGATTGTCTATAAGATTTTCGGTTGTACAATAAATAATAAATATGATTGTGGTATCAACTTTTTTCACACTTTTATTTCAAAGGATAATCTTTAGACTTCAATTAGTTCAATTAATTAATAAAAAATAAAATTATTTTCGGATATTAGTTATTTAGATTAATTCATTTCTAAAATTTATAAGGTTAATCATATATCATGATGCATAAAGCTTATTCTAATTTCCCCACATTTTTTCTCAAATTTATGATGATCTTGTTTTGATTCTTTTTTATTATGCATGTAATATTTATTTTAGGTCCCACCCCACCCGTTGGGGAAATGATTTTGGTTAATCGTAGATTTTGAAATTGATATCTTTAATCACATCTTTTTATTATTCTTAAGATGGTTACGTAAAATCAAATCAAATTTATCCTAAAGAAATTGAGATGTAAAATATTCCAAGTACAGATATTCTAAGGTAATAAGTAAATAACCTTAATTTCATAAACTCCTTAATTCAACTTTGATTCCCAAATATGGTAAGTTAATTTCATCCAACTGTCAATGTGAAAAAAAATATAAATATAACAGTTACGTGGGAAAATTTTGTGTTAGAGATGTAAGCTTATCAATAATTGATAACTGTTACGTGAGAAAAGCCATCAAATTTTGGGGGTTATAGATGTAAGCTAATCAATAATTTTTCATATCTCTGATAAGTCATCAATAATCAATGAATAATTTAAAAAAAAAAGCTTTGGATTTTTAAAAAGGTGAATTATTAATTATTTATGCATCAAAATTACTTGCATGAAATGGAGTTCATATACCGGACGTTAAATACATTATTAATAAACTGGTTTGTAGTTTATTCGATATTCTTCAACTCTTTAGATGTCAAATCATACATTATCCGATATAATAAATGCGGATTAAAATATCTTCGATAATCATTAATTATAATTCTAGCAAAAATTAACTGGCTACACAGCATAATTCCAGCCGAATCTGGATGAAGATTTGAGGGGCTATCTCATACTTTTTTCAAAGACAAGACAGAGATATTTATATTTATTCCAAATAGTTAAAAATATCATATTTTTGTTCAAATAAGGAAACAGTTTTCTATTATGAATAACAAAGCATATTTATTGCATACATATATCCATTATCAGTAGATACATACTATTGTACTTTCCTTTTTCTCTTTGATTGCTTCTTTCATTTTTATAAGAGTGTCATCTTTTTTAGAGTAAAGAATATGTATATTCGAATTCAATTATATATATCAATATAAATCAGAATTCAATAGTATATCAATATAAATTTTACAGATTTATTAAGATTTTTACACTACACTACACTATACTAACAATATATTTCAATATGTTTACATTTATTACGTTTCTTTCAATGTCATAATGCATAGTTAATGATAAATAATATATTGTTGTAATTATTGTATCAAATATAAATCAAATTCTATTTAAATGACTGGACTACTGTGTTGTTCCAAAATTCTTAAATTTATTTGATGATAATATTTAAAATATTACAAAATAATTCCTTGATAAATTTAAATTTATTTAAATAAATCTATAGGATGACTATTACTCAAAACGAAATAAACGTCACAATGACATATATTCTATATGGAAATCAAACGATTATTATCCATAGGGGTTCAAGAAAAGTACGCTCAATAGATATTATTAATAAACTAATAATATCCAGTTGTAACTCTCGTGGATTAAATTATAATCCAGCTGAATTACGTACCATATCCACCAGATGTTGGAGTAATTTAAAAAATTACCCTACTCGTTTTCGAAGGCATTACTCTAGAATGGCTACTGTAATTAATGATTATTTCGAAAGAAATAATGCCGCTTCATCTTGTCAGTTATCAAATTCTTATCGAATAATACCATTAAGAATATCAACTTCAGACGCATCACGTTTACAACTCGAACTTATAAACTTGCCAACACCTAGGTCATTAGAAGAGGCGGAGACAATGTTGTGTAATAGACC